ATGCGAGGCAGCCCGTTAGAGACTTCAAAAGAGAGAGAGAGAGAGAGATAGAGAGAGAGAGAGAGAGAGAGAGAGAGAGAGAGAGAGAGAGACAGAGAGGGAGAGAGAGAGAGAGAGAGAGAGAGCGAGAGAGAGAGAGGGAGATATAGAGAGAGAGAGCAAGAGAGAGAAAGAGAGAGAGAGAGAGAGAGAGAGAGAGAGAGAGAGAGAGAGAGAGAGAGAGAGAGAGAGAGAGAGAGAGAGAGATGGGAGAATGTGGAAAGGAGAAGGACTGGAGGAAGGATGGTACACGGAGATCTTGAAGGCATAGCACCGAGTATGTATAAGCCCCCGGGCTGGCCTTATGACCAAAGGCTAATCACCCAATACACCACACCCGGTTGCCCCCACGTGCAGTGGCGGACGACAAGTGGCGAGCGGCGGAATGGGACCCATACGAGAACGCGGTCACAGACGACACGGTGAAGGTCATGCGCAACCGACTGCGTAACCAACTGCACTGGTGGATATCGTGGTGCGGCAACAGTTTTATTATCTTGATCATTGCCAGGGGATATTGGCTGCCTTGGAAAACTACAGAACCGCCACCCTTCGAAACAACAAACCACGCGGGTGTTCACGGACACACCACGTTCACCCGTGAGGCCATTCGCGACTTAATTACGTCGGGCGCGGCCACAAAGGTATCCTCGCGGACTGGGCTCTCGTGCGTAAGCCCACTCAACGTGGTGGAACAACGCGACAAATGTCGCCTCATCCTCGACCTACGCAAGGTCAACCAACACCTCCAAGTCCCCAAATTCAAATACGAGGGCCTGAATCGGGTTTCAGAGATCATTCGACGCAACGACTGGTTGTTCACCATTGACCTAAAGTCGGGCTACCACCATGTTGAGATGCACCCATCATGCTGGAAGTTCCTAGGCTTCCAATTCGAAGGCGAGTTCTACTGCTTCCGAGCTTTGCCGTTTGGACTGGCGACAGCACCTTTCGTCTTCACCCAGTTGATCAAGCAATTGGCCAAACGTTGGCGTGCATGTGGCGTCCGCGTAGTCCCATATGTTGACGACTTGCTATTCCTCTGTGACTCTGCGGAGCAAGCACGCAAGACATGCACAGAGGTTCTACGCGACCTGGGGGCGGCAGGTTTTGTGATCAACGAGAAAAAATCGCGTTTCCAACCGGCCCATCAAACACGGTTTTTGGGGATGGAGCTTGACATGGAAAGCGGCATGTTTAGCATCGGATCCGATCGGCGGGCACAGTTCCTGGACACGCTCAACACACTCATCTCTAAAGGGCAACGCGGCCAACAAGTCCCAATTCGGCAAGTCGCTCGTAACACCGGAATGTTGAGCTCCATGTCCCTCGCATTGGGCACGACGGCACGCGCCTTCAGCCACGAGCTGCTACAATTAACTGATGCAGCGGAATCTTGGCACTCAAGAATCTGGATGCCACGGGCCGCCATTGAGGAGCTGATCTTCTGGCAACTGCACTTCGACCAATTTAATGGTGCCCCATTTCACCTGAGCCATCAATTCGATGCCGTGATCCACGTCGACGCGAGCGCTCACAGCTGGGGCGCCACCCTCACCAAGTTTACCGACGCATCGTATGAGGCAAGCGCAAGCATGCCGAGCGAGCTCCTCCCAACCTCAAGCACTCAAAGGGAGCTCGAGGGAGTCCTCTGGGCGCTAGAGACGTTCGCGTCTCACATCAAAAGCGGCCACGTTTTGGTTCGCGTGGACAACCAAGGAGTCGTGTTTATCTTGCGCAAAGGGGGGTCCAGCCAACCTCGGCTGACACTGACATGTCAAGCAGTCATACAGTTCTGCCTCAAGAACCATACACGCCTGGCAATCGAATGGATCCCACGGGAGCTAAATGCCCACGCGGACGAACTGTCTAAAATCCAAGACCACGACGACTACTCGCTGCACATGCCATGGTTCCTCCTACTGGAACGCCGATGGGGTCCCCACACGATTGACCTCTTCGCAAACATTACCAACAAGAAGCTGCCACGATTTTGCTCCAAGATACCGCACCCAAGCGCCACAGCAATTGACGCGTTCTCGATCTCGTGGAAAGGCGAGCGCTGCTTCACCTTTCCTCCCCCCGGCTTGATCCCAGCCACACTCTCTCACGCCAGGCGCACACAAGCCGAGTTGACACTCGTCGTCCCCAAGTGGCCGGGAGCAGCATGGTGGCCGTTGCTACAACCCTCCCCACAGAAATGGGCCCCAGAAGTGATCGCATGCTTGCCCCTCGCGCAAGGAAGCAAGTGCCTTCGACATGGCACGCACGCAACAGCATTTTCCGGACTCGGCCTACCGCATAGCCCAATCATTGCCCTTCATGTAAAATATGATATGTAACTAATATTCGAATGGTAATTCTTTCAGGATTGTTGACCAAGCTTCAAAACCAACTGTTACAAGTTATAAAGATGTTCGCGCACCATCCACGATCGAGACATATCAACCTTACTGGCTCAAATTTCGCAACTTCTGCACTCGAGTCAAGTTAGCATTCCTGCCAGCAACGAACCTCACGCTGGCACTCTACCTAGTCCACGCACTGAACACCAAGGCAACGGTGTCCGCGATCAACCTCACGTGCTCCGCCGTGGCCTTCGCCCATCGGATGACCGGCGAGGCATCCCCAACGAACGGCCCGTTCACGCTGCAAGTATGGGAGTTTGCTAAGCGACATGGCCTACGCCCGACTAGGACCAAGGAACCCGTGTCACTCCATCAAGTGCACAACATGGCACGACCCTTCCTAGAATCAACAGTGCCGGCGGAATATCAGAAAGGCTTGATACCTCTCTTGATGTTCGCAGCATTCCTGCGCTACTCCGACCTGATCTCCCTCCAATGGAACGACATCCAGTTTGAAGGGGCGGCCATGTGGCTACTGATCCCATACTCCGAGACGGACCAAGAAGGCAAGGGCACGTGGATCCCGGTCGCAGCGTCAGCAGGGCCCTACTGCGCAGTGAGATGCACACGGGAGTTCATTCGCATCGCAGGCCTTACAAACATGCCACACGGACCTCTGATCCGGGTTTTCAACAAAAGGGCACAAGCCTCGCCGCACGACAAATCGCCTTCATATCCAACCATCCGGAGCAGGTGCCTCGAGGCTTGCAGGAAGGCGGGACTCGACGCCACGCACATCGGAACACACTCATTCCGCAAGGGCGCAGCAACAGCAGCAGCAACTTTAGGCATCCCCGACCGGCTCTTCAAACGAATGGGGCGCTGGCGAAGCGACGGCGCGAAGGACCTATACATCACCATTGCCCAAGACCAACTCATCGACCTCTCCACCCAGCTGCAGGACACCTCAGCAGCCCCATCGCCTGCTAGGCACCAGCAATCGTTGGAGAGGCACCGCCGACCCAAAATGCACTTGCCTCAGAAGACCCACTTGGAATGAAGCACGCTGCCTTTGCAAGATGGACTAAGCAAGCTTTCACAATATTATAATTTGTAAAAGTGTAACACTTTTTCAAATTTCGTATTGTGAAAGCGAGGGCGTGGCCAGCAAAGCAAAGGTAGCGGCTCGACGCTACTCACCCCTCTTTTGCCTACAAAAGAGGAATGTGATTCCAGTAGCTCCACCCACGTTCTTCATTTCCATTTTCTAGTTTACTTTCCCACCACCCACCCCATTGTATCATTCATGAACGAGAACGTTGTACTTGCCCACTTGGAATGAAGCACGCTGCCTTTGCAAGATGGACTAAGCAAGCTTTCACAATAGAATATATTTACATGCATCCTGGATATAGCTAGAGAAACATTTCGCAACAGAGCTGTGCGCAATACTGAAAATTCTCGAGACGGCATGGTGTTGCTGCTCTGGAGCATGACAACGACCCTCCCACTTGGACAGCTTGTGACGGTGTTCAGTTTTGTCTCTTTGCACGAACCTCTCTGCTGGGTCAATAGAACAGTACAGAATCCGGTTCGGCAGCAGTAACATTGTGAACAGCCGGACGGAACCACTGTCCAACATCCATGGGAAATCAGAAAGGAATCTTCCTTACTCTCACTTTCATGGCTGAGATCCAGCTAGCAACATTTCGTGAGCATGGCACCACTTTACAGGTGTTTGTTCTGTTCGGATAACACGCCCACCAATTCTCGCTCGTTTTCTCTGCAATGCTGGAGCTGAGTCAGTTTCGTGAAGTATCCTCGTCAGAACTGGGATCGTCACTAGCGAGTTGTCGTTATTGCGAGTTCTAGTCCAAGGCGGCACGCGCCACGTTACCGTGACGTGATGACTGAAAGTCAAAGTTTAGGCACCCCGCGGATGGCGGGCGGAAGGGCGGAGTTTTCAATCGGATCCGGCAGGAGGCGGGACTGGGCAGGAAGTATTTTAGCGATGTACTGTTCAGATAACACCAACCATGATGCCCCAATTCCAGCTCGTCTTCTTAGCAATGCTGGATCTGAGTCAGATCTGTATATTAATCCACGTCAGATCTGCATGTCACCAGCGAGTTGTCGTTTTTGCGTTTTTCAAAATCCAAGGCGGCAAAGGCGCGCCACATCATCCATAGCGTGACGTGTTCACAGAAAGTCAAACTCTTTGGCACCCGTGGATGGCGGGCGGCGGAGGGCGGAGTTTCAACCGCATCATCCGGCAGGGGACTGGGCAGGAAGTATTTTAGCAGGTGGGCCATCCAGTCAGAACATCATTCCATCAGTCCTGCTTGCCAGACACTTCTCTTGGCTGCGTTCGCGAGATTGCTCACCTTGAAGCTCAGCATCGTCATTATCATCGTTTTCTAGTTTCACTCGGGATCAGCTATGGCTGCAACGAACTGCGACTCTCTGGCCTTGTACTTGCTGCCGCACTGGCTGCGCTTATGCTCTCAGGTACTCATTCTCTCACCTTCGCGAACACTTCGTTGCCTGCGTAGTTTTCTTTTACGTTTTAGGGTTTGTGTGCACTTGATGTTGATTATTGCAAAAACTCTGCACATGATGGCTTCTCATAGCCCTCTGCATCTCGCCGGTCGCTCGTATCCTGACCATCTCCTCCATTCCCCCCTCCCGTTTCTGCCAGGCTGTGCGCCCAGGGCTGCTGTTGCCATCCGCCTGCCATCTGATACCAGCAACCGGTGCGCAGTGGGTTATGTGAAGGATGCACAAGGCAACTGCGTTGGTGAGTGCTGTGAATGCATATATTGGTTCATTCGGCCTCATTTGGTGTGCAACTTCACAGCTTCAACATATAATCCGGCACAAGATATTTGTTTTGAGCTCCAGAAGACATCAACCATGCCACGTGACATTCTGCACGGGCGTTTCTGCTCCCCATATGTGCTTACCATCCCACGTGCCTATCTCTGACCCCCACGTGTCTGACCGCAGACTCGTGCACGGTGCGCAACTGCGGCATCAACGCGAGGTGCCTCAAGAGCCAGGCGGGCTGGGCGGACTGCGTGTGCGACAGGGGCTTCAAGCTGCTGCCCGATGCGTCGTGCGCTCGTGAGTGGCTCCACCCAACGTTTTTCTGTTGGAGTTGCTTCCCATATCCGCTGCTGCTCCAAATCGGCGCTGTACATGACACAGTGGTGTCATTGCTGCCTCTTGTTCAAGCCTTCGCGGTCGAATCCAGGCCTGTCGGCAAGCTGTGGGCACTCCAACATTGCATTTTTTTCTGCATTTTCTTTTTATTTATTTATTTAATTCAACCCCCCCCACGTACTCTGGTTTCCACTCTCTCGTGCTGTAAACCTGGCAGATCTGTGTACCGCTGAGGACTGTGGGGAGAACGGGTACTGTGAGGAGGACCAAGGAGCCTCCTCCTGTCATTGCAACACTGGCTTTGAAAAGACCGCGGATGGCTGTGTTGGTGAGCGCTGCTTATCTGTGCTGTACTGATTTTATTCAGGGTGCTGGATTCTAATGTTCGATTTGATCCGTATGGCAAAACTGCTGTCTTCTAATGTTTGCTGTCCTCTTTGACTCTTCCCTTCCCAGATACGTGTGTGCTTCAGGCGTGTGCTGGAAACGGCCAGTGCGTGAAGGACGAGAACGGGGTGGCGTTCTTTGTTTGTGGCATCACCGGTGTTATTCCCTTCTCCCGTTGTTCCTCCCTCTCCTGCCAGATACCTGTGTGCTCCAGGCGTGTGCTGGAAACGGCCAGTGCGTCAAGGACGAGGAGGGGGTGGCATCCTGTGTCTGTGACCCTGGCTTTGGGCTGGAGGCGGATGGCAAGACATGCACAGGTAGCTGTTTGCTGTGTGCTGCTGCCGATTTGCTGTGTGCTGCTGCAGATTTGCTGTGTACCGCTGCTGATATGCTGTGTGCCGCTGCTGTTATGCTGTGTGCCGCTTCTGATGCCATCTGCTGCTATAAATGTTCTGCTGCTGTTTATGTATGATACCCTTCGCATTCACTGCTGTTACTGCTGTTTTTTTGTTCCCGTTGGTCCTCGCTCTCCTGGCAGACACCTGTGTGCTCCAGGAGTGTGGTGAGAACGGCCAGTGCGTACAGGATGGGGATGGGGTGGCGTCCTGTGTTTGTGACCCTGGCTTCACGCTGCGGGATGATGGCAAGTCTTGCCATGGTAAGGCTGCTGTTTTCTGCTGTGCTTCTGTAATTGCTCTGACAGTACCTCTCAAACACCGTCCAACTTTCTGCCATCCTTTTACCTGCAGCTCATTGTTTCAACACTCCCCAACTCTTCCCTGTCCCCCATCGTTTTTTGCAGACAATTCGCCCAACGGGCCACCTTCTTTTGTTGATCTGCCACCTGCTGCTATCAACCACCCCTGCCCAGCGGGCGAAGAGAGGGATGCAGACGGCAACTGCGTTGGTGGGTGCTGTTGAAAAGAGTGAATGCAGCATTGCTCCACTGCAGTCTTATCGCACCTACATTTTGTGTTACATCTTCTAGATATGGTGTTATGGTCTGTCGCCAATTGTGATGGCAAATGACGATGTGTCTTGTTCTGCCCCTACGTGCTTGTCTGGCCCCATGTGCCTGAGTGCAGACTCGTGTGTGGTACGCAACTGTGGCCCCAATGCGAACTGCCTCAAGAGCGAGGCAGGCTGGGCGAACTGCGTGTGCGAAAGGGGCCTCAGGCTGATGCCCAATGCGTCCTGCTCTCGTGAGTTCCTCGGAGTTACTCCCATGCCATGTCTGCTTCTCATTTTGACCTTCCTGGCTGCAACCGAAGCCCTCTTGGACATGCATACAGGCAGAGACTCCAACCATTATTATTTCCACTCTCTCCTCTCCTCACTCGACCGTTCTGTCGTTGTTGCTCCCTGTTACATGTGTTTGTATTCTTTCTTGCCATGACCCGACAGACTCGTGCTCAATAATGGACTGCGGGGAGAACGCGTACTGTGAGAAGGAGCAGGAGCTCGCCGTCTGTCACTGCAACTGGGGCTACGCCATGACCGACACCGGCTGTGTTGGTCAGTGCTGTGCTGCAATGCGTGAAGAATCTGTCTGTGGCTTCGTGCCAGATGATACAATGCTATACAAGCTGAGAGGATGCGTTTTATGTGCTGCAGAAGGATGGCATGACGTGGCAGATTACCATGGCTGCATGGTGTAGTGCAATAGTGCGCTTTCTACTCGCTGTTCCATTTGCTTCTCCTCTTCTCTTATATTATCCAACACTTGAGTTCATTATATCTGTTGCGTCTTCCCCCAATGGCAGACACATGCATTCTGAAAGCGTGTAGTGCGCATGGTCACTGTGTGAAGGATGCGTTGGGGGAGGCGTCTTGTGTTTGTGACGTTCGCTACACACTGCAGATCGATGGCAGGACGTGCAAAGGTAAGGATGCTGTGTGTTGCTGTGTGTTGCTGTGTGTTTCTGTGTACTGCTGTGTGTTGCTGTGTGTTGCTGTGTGCTGCTGTGTGTTGCTGTGTGTTGCTGTGTGTTGCTGTGCGTTGCTGTGCGTTGCTGTGCGTTGCTGTGCGTTGCTGTGCGTTGCTGTGCGTTGCTGTGTGTTTATGTGTGCTTTCGTGTCCTTCTGTGTGCCTCTCCCTCTCCCTCTACCTCCCCCTCTACCACACTGACTCTCCCTCCCTCCACCTATACCTTTCCCTCTCCCTCTCCCTTTGTCTCTCCCTCTTGCTCACGCTCTCTATTTCTCTTCTTCTAACCTCTCCACCTGCGGCAAGCCTGCATCTGTGCATCCTCTCCGCATTCCCCTCTGTCTCTCTCGTTTTCTGGGTCCACACTATGCCCCATACTCGATGACACTCCTGCCCCCCTCCCCCCTACCCCCCCTCCCCTCCTCCCGTTTCCACCCCCTCTTCTCCCCCAGATAATTGCCTTATTATTGGGTGGATTCCGTATACGGAGGATTGTTGGAAAGAAGCAGATGGCACTGCACACCGCACATGCAAATCCGGCTACACACGGCTCTATGGCGATTGCGTTGGTATGTAATGTTCTCACGTTTGTTAGAACCTTCCCCCAAACCCCCCTATCCTCCTCCCCCCCTCCATCCCTCTTCCCGCTCTCACTCCATCCTCTCCCTCTCGCTTTTCTCCCCTCTCTCATTTCCCCCCCAGGCAACCAGTTCGTTTTATACAGCTGCACTCCACTGTATTCCCCTGTTGTTATTTTCTTCTTATTACACATTGCACTATGCTGTCCTATGTGCTTGCGTGCTGTTTTCTGTTCGAGATGTAGTGCACTTACACTAATTTCTCCCCTTCCAATCTACCTGCTCTCCTATCAAGCTAGAATATTCCCTCCTTTTCTCTAACCCATGGTCACCAGGACCTGCAACCTGCGGGAACTGTCCGAGACTCGCCACATGCACAGTTTTCTCATCAACCAGAAAGGCTCCTTACTGCATCTGCCCTGCTGGCTATGGCATGACCAACCTTGGTTGCATTCGCGGTACGACCATTATGTCTGCGTTTAGTGATGACCAGTGATACGAGCAGTTGGGGATTATGAAGGTGGAGGCCTGACCAGCTGTGCTTGCATCAGTCAGTCAATGTTGCATACATCTTTGTCAAACCTCATATCCCATACCAAACCCCATGCCCCTATTTTCCACTCTCCCACATTCTTTTTTTCTTCCAGGAGCCACCCCAACAGTCTCCTCCGCAAGTTTCACCTTCTATGACAAAACTAGCTACGGCTTATCACCCTACACCTACACCACGCGCCTGAACTACACCGCATGCACCAACGTGCCTAAGCCAATTGGTTCGATTCACCGTTCATACTGGCGTGTGGACCATGCACCCGGGGGAGCTGGTGATTGCAAGAAGATCATCGTTTTTCAGTATCAAAATTGCGGTGGACCGTACACTGTGCTCTCTTACCTGTCCCTGACCAGCATCACTGCTGCTGGTGTCCCGTAAGTCATGCACACAATCTAATGCTTTTCCACACATCTGTTTATTCTTGCTCTGTTTCAGAGTCCTTATTGTTCCTACATATGCAAACCCAGTTCTCGAGTTTATTTCCGTTTCCTGTATCTACCTACTTCTTTGTGTGCCACCCAACAGATCCACAATGAGTGACATATATTCCTTCACGTGTCTCCGCTAATCATTTGACTTGTGGAGAATGAAGAACAGCAGATTGAAACGATGCTTCTTTTGGAGATAGAAGACAATGGTTGAGTCTGCCGTTGACATGATGCCTCTAGACAAGCTTGATGCGGCCAGGGGAGGAGTTATTGGCACCAAAGTAGTGCCATGAGATTTGTCATTTGCGTCTAGTTAGTTCTACTGGTACCTCTCTTATTCAGCATTTAATCTCTTGGTTCTCCATTCTTCTCTCCCCTCTCTCATTTCCCATTTTATTAGCAACTAAAAGTGTGTGTGCTCACCTGCGCGCGCGCGCGCGCGTGTGTGTGTGTGTGTGTGTGTGTGTGTGTGTGTGTGTGTGTGTGTGTGTGTGTGCGAGTGGCACATGATTATGATATTAAGGACGTGTCCCTATTATGTTTTCACTTTAATAGTCATTATATATTGTGGGGAACACTGACAATCAGCCTTTTTTTTTCACAGGGACCCTGATGCATCAGGGTACCTAAAAGCGAATCTGAGGGCCTGTTGTGGGTGTTGGGCTGAAAAGCCCTTAGGATCGTTTTCAAGACCAAGTCTCAGTAGTGATGTACGGTACTAGCGGAAGCGTAATAGCAAACCAATTGAACCACCTTGCACTAGTATGTGAGAACAAGATGAGTTGATTATAGCATAGAGATACAAGGGCTTTTACCGTCAGCCCCCGGATAGTAGCGCCCCTGGGGGTATTAAAAAAACACTGTTAGGGGGTGCGCTTATAATCGAGGAAATTTATAAGCGCCGGCGTTGATAAAATGGCAAGAATGAAATGTATTGTTTTAACATGAAATTGAAGCTTTTTCAAAAGGGGATTCAATCCACATCTAGAACGTTCGTAACCGTGCATGAAAAGCGCGTCAAATGGCCAACAAGGCGTAAAACCACGCCCATGATGCCTTGCTGGCCTGGCCAGATTCATTGAACATGAATCTGGCCCGTGCCAGCGCACACGTAGTTTAGGGTGCGACTGCCCAATCAGGGTCGCATGCCGTGCCAGGCACGACTCTGTACAACCACGCAATTGGCAGAAGCGGCAAGATTCCACTCCACCGAGGCATTGACCTCACCACCTCAGCTCCTCTGCGGGGGGATCTTGACAGTTTTCCCCCTTTCCCTGCAGAGAAACCCGGCCGCGAAGTTGGAGGGGTCTTGGGCGAGGGTTTCAAACGAGGCTCATTCTCGTCGTTTTTTTTCAGTTTTCTTGTTTTCCGTCGGCCTGCCTAGGCCAGGCGGGCCTTCCAGGCACTCACTTCCTCTTTAGCCGCGGACCTGCTGTTGGCAACACTCGCGATTACTCTCAGTGGCAGAGTCGCCCAGCGCCTCCTGCTCCTCCAGCGCCTCCTGCTCCTCCTGCGCCTCCTGCTCCTCCAGCGCCTCCTGCTCCTCCCGCTCCGCCTATTATCGTCATCAACGGTCAGCCCGTTCTGCAGCTCCTCCCTCGCGGTTACTCAGATTTCGACGCGTACATCTCCGAGCCCGAGCGCAGCGGCGACAATGAATTGTCGAGAGTAAAGGGAAAAGGTGGATCGACTATCGAGAGTGTTGGTACAAAATGAAAACCTAAGGGGTTGTACCCCACAGTGAGTACCCCACTAAAGCCTACCTAAACTATAACATATAAACATATGTTTGACACACCCCCATAGGCAAAGTGGGGGAGAACGGAGGGTCACAAGGCTAGACAGCGAGTGCAAAACAAGCTCAGGGTGGATCACAACGTCACCACGCAGTCTGAGCACAAGCAAAAGGCCACAAGGCCAGTTCACATGCAGAGATATATGTGTAACAACAACAGCACAGTCATATCTACCTACAAGAGCAAGCATGCAGGCATACATATAGATCACAGTACAAACAAAGCCTACAGCAAGTGAGGAAGCGTGGGAACAAGGCCTAACAAAGTGCAGAAACACTGATGATCACCAGGCGGAAGCGCCTTGGTGAATATATCAGCAGTGTTGGCCCAAGTGGCCACGTGTGCAAGACGAAGCTGACCACGCTGCTGCAACTCTCGAGCCAAGAAGTAACGCAGAGCGATGTGCTTCGTTCTGTGCTCCAGTCTGTGCTCCTGACACAAGGCAATGGCGGCCTTGTTGTCGACGTACAGCACTAGAGGAGAATGAGGCCGCTCTCCCAAGTCGGTCAGCAGGTAGGTGAGCCAGCGTAACTCCTGTGCAGCCATGGCTGTGGCGTAGATCTCAGCCTCACAACTGGAGCCGAGAACTGAAGACGAGCGTGTAGAACGCCAAGAAACTGAACCAGAGCCAAGGCTGAAGGTGTAACCCTGTGACGACCGCTGCGTAGCCTGGTCGTCAACCCAAGAAGAGTCCGAGTGACCAGTGAGGACAACGTCGCCCCGTCCTCCAAGCACGAGCCCCATGCCCGATGTACTGCACAAGTAGCGCAGTACCCTCTTAGCAGCATCCATGTGCACCTTTCGGTGCCGACCAGGAGCCACGTAGCGAGCCAGAAGGCCAAGAGGGTACGCAAGGTCAGGTCGTGTGCAGGTCATCAGGTACATGAGGCAGCCCACAAGCTCTGGGTAAGGGCCACTCGGCTCTACGGACTCGTCCGAAGGTGGAGCTGAGAGCGAGTGACCTGTAGCCAGAGGAGTGGCCTGTGCTGAGGACCAGGTGAAGCCAAAGCGCTGAAGGACCTGCTGCACCATGTGTGACTGAGTCAGTGTGATGGTGCGGCGTGCTCTGTCCCGGGTGAACTGCAAGCCAAGGTAGCTGCGCAGTTCACCCAGGTCTGTGCACGTGTGTCTCTTCTGCAGCTCCGACTTCACCAGGGCGAGAGCCTCAGTGTCAGCAGTGGCAAAGACCAAGTCGTCGACGTACACGAGGATGTAGAACAGTGGCAGCGAAGTGTCGGTGCGCAGAAACAGCGACGGGTCAGCAGTCGACGGAGCAAACCCAAGAGCCGCAAGTGTCGTCCTCAGTGTGTCGTGCCACTCACGTGGCGCCTGGCGGAGACCGTAGACCGGCCGCCGGAGGCTCCACTGGGTACCAG